TGAGCAGCCAAAGTCACCCTGCTCTGGTCCCATCCTCACCGTGTTGCCGCTTGCATCACTGATGACATGTAGATGATTGACATGCATTTTGAAGCAGCACAAACTAGTGGGAATGACAATCATGTCAAAAAAGAAGCAATTACAAGGGGATTATGAAAAGATCATCTTTCATAGTGGAAACGATGGACCTTTTGGAATTGATTCACCGACACGAACCGAAGGCTAATTGCAAACCAGTTTAAATGTAAGCGGGAATGAAGCCACTGAAATGAGCTTCAGCAAAATTTACTGAAACTAGACAGCTTTTTTGTGAACACAGCAACATTACAGATCCCACACACATGGTGGATTAAAACTATTATTGAATGCCTAAAAATACAAACTCTTGCTTCTAAATCTGGTTCCAACCAGTACCAAAAATCTTTACAAAGGCCTATTGATGATCAGAACAATATTCTTCTTTTTCAGTTAGGAGTAGTGGCAAATAAGTCAGAGACAATTTGAGGCAGGAAACTGACAAGGTGGCAATCCTGTAGATATCTAGCCAGAAGCAAATCTTGTGTGTTCTGATCTTGCTTTTGCCTCTCTTCCTCTCTGTCACCTGGATGAAATCACCCAAGGTTTCACAATACATGGCTGTTTTGTTGTCTATTTATACTAAGTGGATGAGGGTTTGACAAACAGGGGACGTGTACAAAAGCACATGTCTGGAAGAAACATCACTGAAAAAGAAAAATGGTCTAGTATATAGAAAGTGGGGTGGGGTGTAGCATTTATTGCAGCCCATTCTTACGTAGTACAGCAGAGAAGCACTCAATTGCTTGACTACAATGTTTAAAGTGTTATAAGTGTGTGGGGGAAGCTACTCAAATTCCAAAAATTGTGTGAGGAAAGGGATTGCAAGGTGTGTGTGTGTGTGTGTCTACAAGTTATCTGTAGACTTATGGCAACCCCATGAATTTCATCAGGAGGTACCACTTAAATAAAAGGCAGAATACATAAGTAAGGCATTAACAAATAACCATCTTTATACAGCTAAATAGATAAATATGCAAGGTCTAGATAATTTCAAATGATGGCATGGTTAATCAATGGATGTAAAATTTGGAATGCTCTTAGTCTTAAGCAGGGGTAGGCAACCTTTCCCCTTTAAGGGCCAAGGGACTTCAGTTCCCAGAAGCCTCAGCCATGTTGGCCAATAGTCCCTTGTTGGCCAATAGCTCCTGGGATTCTGGGAGCTGAAGTCCCTCACCCCTTAAAGGGGAAAGGTTGCCTACCCCTGGTCTTAGGTTTAGTAAGAGACAGTGATAGTGTTGGGTAGGAGTGGGAATTGTGTAGCCCCTTCTAACTTCCAGTGGCCCTAGGTGTCTTTCACACTACACTTTTATATCACTTTGATTCCACTTTGACTACCATGGCGGCATCCTACAGATTCCTGGGAATTAAAGTTTGGTGAGGTGCTAGAATTCCCTGGCAGAGAATTCTAAATACTTCAAGAAACTACAAATGCCAGCATTCCATAAAATGGGGGCCATAGCATTTAAAGTGGTCAGCCCTCCAGTTGGCAGAGCAAATGGTGAAAAATACTGGGAGCTGCAGTTCCACAACATGTGGAGTATTGCATGTATCTCCCCAATGAAGAGGTCAACATTCCAGATTTGGAGTGGGAAAAATTAGGGCCTTTATAGACTGCCAGAAATAATGCAGCTTGAGACCACTTTAACTGCCCTGGCTCAGTGCTAGGGAATCATGGGAACTGTAGTTTATTGTGGCACCAGAGCTCTCTGACAGAGAAGTCTCAGTGTCTCAGAAAAAATTACAGTTCCCATGATTCCCTAGCACTGAGCCAGGGCAGTTAAAGTGGACTGAAGCTGCATTATTTCTGGCAGTCTGTAAAGGCCCTTAGTCAAACCTCCCACTCAGCTCTGAAGGTCAGTCACTCTCATCTTAAAGTACCTAATAGGGTTTTATGAGGATAAAATGGGGGAGAGAGGACAACCAATGTGGCATATAACTGTAACTGAAAGAGCTATAAAAACAAATATGCAAAACACACAATTTCATTCATACTAACAATAGCTTAAGTACTCCATTGTGCTCTTTGCCTTGAATTCACCTGATTTTGCACTGTCCCTGTACTCAGCTTTATAGCTGTTGATGACATTGTTGTTGCTGTTGTCCTAGTGTGCCTTCAAATCATTTTCAAATTATGGGAACCCTAAGGTGAACCTGTCCCTGAGGTTTCTTCAGAGGTCATTTGCCTTTGCTTTTCTCTGAGGCTGAGAGAGGGTGACTTTCACAAGGTCACCTAGTGAGTTTGCATGGCCAAGCAGGGATTCGAACTCTGATCTCCAGTGTTGCAGCCCAACACTCAAACCACTGCACCACACTGACTCACATAAACATCTGGACAGATAGGCAATTGGGAACATTATCTTTTCTGTGAGCTTGCCATTTGCAGTGACAGCCCCAGGCCTTTTACTCACAAACAATGAACAGGAAAAGTCATTTGACAGATATGGTAGCCAAAAGTCTCAAGGCTGTGGTCTGTAAACAAGTTATTTTGGGAACAGCTTCATTTCAAAGGCCAGAATGGAGCTTCAGAATTAACGAGAGCTCAGACAAGCTGCTTTTTTTGGATCCCAGCTCACAAAACCCCCCAGCCAGTTATTACCATACTGGTTGAAGATTTGTTGCTGTGTGCCTTCAAGGCGGCCCTAAGATGAACCTACCATGGGGCTTTCTTGGCAAGATTGGTTCAGAGGAGGTTTTCCATTGCTTTCCCCTGAGGCTGAGAGAGTGCAACTTGCCTAAGGTCACCGCCAGCAGGACCCCCCCCCCC